CACTCACCTCAGCCTCCCAAAGGTGCGGGATTACAGGTTGAGCCACCGAGCCCGGCTTGCCTTGACTCTTAACCCTTCTAGTCGTCAACTATGTGACTTTAGGCAAGTAATTTTGCCTAAACATGTTTTTGAGTCTTTGCTTTATTATGTAGTTTGTTAATTACACCTCCCTTATGAGTGTCTTATGATGAAGATTATCTACAATAGAGTATACAAATCTTCTAGGTACATAGTAGATTGCTCAACAATGTAGCTAGAATGAATGAATGTGTAATAACCATGTTGCAGAAAACTGTCTGCAAGTGAAATTTCTGTGTACTGAATGCCATTTCAAATATCCTACCTGAGGAAATTACATAGTAAATCCTTTCGTGAGTTGAATAACATTTGCCTCTAATGTATGTTTTGCTTTTCCTTGGTTGGAATTTTTGAATAGGTAATAGGTTTTCATGGTGCTTGATGGAAAAGTTACAAAGGGTTTATAGATGAAAGTAGCCTCCCTCTCTCCCTATTCTTCAGCCACTAAATTCCCCATCTAGGACAACCATTTTTACCAGATTCTTGACTGTCCTCCCAGAAGTAGTCTATTAATGTAGAAGTCAAAAGCTTTATCCACTAAACAGATTTCAAAACCGAGATCCTTATTCTTCCCAATGTGCTTGGAAGCTCTCTTCTGGTTATTTCCTTTCTAGAGTGCTTCACATTGTGCTTCACTCCCAATGTGCTTGGAAGCTCTCTTCTGGTTATTTCCTTTCTAGGGTAAAGAATTTACCAATACTTTAATCCCTTTCTTTCCATATCCTCTCCTTTTTTTTTTTTTAACAATTAAAGAATGCAGAAAGTATAAAGATAAAAATAAAAATTACCCATATTTCTCTCCTCAGAATTAATGACTATTAGCATTGTGGCATAATTCCTCCTAGCTTTATTTCTTAATCCTTTTTGTAATCAACTGTTCACAGTATGTGACTGCATTGCCCTTTTCCTTCCACAGTTCTGTGAGTTTATCTCCAAAGCATCCTTTGCACTCATATTCTCTCTTCCTATCCTCCCTGCACACACCACATCCAAGCCCTCATCTCTTTTGCCTGAGTGATCACTGAGCATCCTGGCTGCTCACCCTGCCTGGTACCCACTCCGAGCACTGGGTCCACTGAAGTGTCCTTTCTGGTAAACACAGCTGATCAGTTAACACTCTTGCTCCAGAACCTTTCATGACATACAAAATAAAGCTCCTCCCAGCCTCAGTTTGGCACCTAAGGCCTTCCCCATTGTGTCTCTGCCATGTCCTTTCCATTTAGCACCCCACTTGGCCTTGCCTCCAACCGCCATCCCTAGGGATGCTAAGCTGTTACTTCTACAGGAACTCCTTTTTCTACAGCTGAAGCCCCATGCATCCTTCAAGCTTTGACTTAAATCTCTGCTCCGCCATAAAACCTTCTCAGGTGCTCCGTGTTGAAATGAATGGCTCTTCCCCATCTTCCTAGAGTCTCATTGTGTTGTAAACATAAGCCATGAATTAGGTTTAAGGTTCCTTAGGATTCCATTTCTCCCCCGACTAGCTTATGATCTCCTGCCTGGCATGACTGAGCCATATTTATCTTTGTATCTCCTGTGTCTTGCTGTGGGCCTGGCATAGAGTAAGCCTTTGATTGAAATGTGGTAAAGTGTGGAAACAGCAGATGCTGGACACTGCTAGGGGAGGGAAGGAAGAAGGAGGGATGGGGAGGCACACAGCAACACACTGGGTACCAGGCCCACTGTCGGGGGGAGAGAGGGCCAGCTAGAAATCCAAACTTCACCTGCATCCAATTTATGTATATAGTAAATCCTCACATGTACCCCACAGCTCTAAGGTTAAATCAAATCAAATAAAAATTAAGTGTCTTGGAGTGTTTTTTTAGAGGTATGCTCATCATCAAAAGCAACAATAACCATCAATTATTTAATACTCACAGTGGTCCAGATATTTTTTAATGTATCGTATCTCCTTTAATTTTCAAGGCAACTTCACGAAGTTAGTAGTTATTATCTCTATTTCAGAAAAATAGAACCCAAGGCTCAGAAAGCTATGATATCTTCTCAGGGTCACACAGCCCAGGCAATGCCAAGCCATGCTTGGACCCCAGATCCCCCTTAATGCATAGTCTGAATTCTTCCCATCAATCATGCTGAGTTGCTTGGGATTTGCAAGGAGAAGTCTGGGGATGGGGTTGCTGATTTTTGGGTTGGTTGGAAGATTTAACAAGCTTCTGGAGACCTGCGAGGCTGACTGATGGGTTGTGCTTTCTCACAGGGGGAATCAGCTTTGGGAGAGCCAAGGGGACGTCAGGCTCAGAGGCAGACGACGAAACACAGCTGACATTCTACACGGAGCAGTACCGCAGTCGCCGCCGCAGCAAAGGTAAGGAGTCCTTCGAAGGTTCCAGAACCAGAGTTTGAAGAACGAAAGCCTAGGAGTCTGATTTTGTGCTCAGTAACACACTCTAAATCTTCTCCAGCCTTGTCCCAATCTGGTTAACACTGAGTTTGGCATGAGCTGTCCTGGCCAGACTGGTGACCTTTATTATATCCTTTTTCCGTTTCATTCTTTACTTACTTTCTGTCCTACTTCATTCCTAAAAAAAATTGGGGGAACTTTTTTTTAGATTTGTGCCAGTTTTATTGTTTTTTTTGCTTTTCATTTTCTTAAAATTTTGAAAAGGAAATGAAAACACTAATCAGAAGGAAAATAGGATAAAGAAAATTATTCAAACTCAGATTAGGTTAATCCAGGGTAATTCCTGACATACTGTGTTATCTAGTTATTAGAAGGTAATTAATTTTTTTTTTTTTTTTGAGTTGGAGTCTCACTCTGTCACCCAGACTGGAGTGCAGTGGCCGCTCCCGGCCACCGCAGCCTCGACCTGCTGGGCTCCGGTGATCCTTCCGCCTCAGCCTTCCAAGTAGCCGGAATTGCAGGCATGCGTTACCACGCCCGGCTGATTTTTTGATTTATTGTAGAGATGAGGTCTCACTGCCCAGGCGGGTCTCGAACCCGCGGGCTCAAGCAATCCACTCACCTCAGCCTCCCAAAGGCGTGAGATTACAGGCTGAGCCACTGAGCCTGGCTGGTAATTTATTTTTTTGTTTTGTTTTAGATTTTTGATTTGTTTTGTTTGTTTGTTTTTTGAGTTGGAATCTCACTCTGTCACTCAGACTGGAGTGCAGTGGACGCTCCTGCCCACTGCAGCCTCGACCTGCTGGACTCCAGTGACCCTTCCATCTCAGCCTTCCAAGTAGCTGGAACTACAGGCGTGTGCTACCATGCCCGGCTAATTTTTTGATTTATTGTAGAGATGAGGTCTCACCAAGTTGCCCAGGCAGGTCTCGAACCCACGGACTCAGGCAATCCACTCACCTCAGCCTACCAAAGCGTGGGATTACAGGCTGAGCCACCGAGCCCGGCTAGAAGGTAATTTAAGTCAGAGATTTCCAGTAGTCAAAGTATAAAGGGAAACATATTTAGAAATAATCTACAAGGTCTGTGGGATAGAGTCAAGCACTTGTTCTGGAAATTCTATTTACCTGACGAGACCAGAGAGAAAGTTTTCCAGTTGGTCCCTATGAACAGGACACCATGTGAGTTTATAGAAGTGTCTTCAAGAAACATATCAGTATTGATGCATAATTATTTCCCACAAGGACACTCAACATAGAGCAATGTTAACATGATGAAGTAGGACCCCATACACGTCTACACCTATGTCCTCGATCCATAATTCTTGAAGGATTCAACAAGCTCTTCCAGGCAACCATATGTGAACATACGTCCTCATTTTTTAGTGTTTCATGAGGATGGAAAAGTAACAAGTTCAAGATTGCATTCTTTTTTTTCTTTTTTGAGTTGGAGTCTCACTCTATTGCCCAGACTGGAGTGCAGTGGCATACTCCTGGCCACTGCAGCCTCAATCTGCTGGGCTCCCAGCGATCCTTCTGCCTCAACCTTCCAGGTAGCTGGAACTACAGGCGCACGCTACCATGCCCAGCTAATTTTTTGATGTATTGTAGAGACGAGGCCTCGCCAAGTTGCCCAGGTGGGTCTCAAACCTGCAGTCTCAGGCAATTCACTCATCTCGGCCTCCCAAAGTGCTGGGATTACAGGCTGAGCCACTGAACCCGGCAAAATTACATTCTTTTTTTTTTGAGTTGGAGTCTCACTCTGTCACCCAGACTGGAGTGCAGTGGCCGTTCCCGGCCACCGCAGCCTCAACCTGCTGGGCTCCAGCGATCCTTCCCCTCAGCCTTCCAAGTAGCTGGACCTACAGGTATGCGCTACCATGCCCAGCTCATTTTGATTTATTATAGAGATGAGGTCTCGCCAAGTTGCCCAGGCGGGTCTCGAGCCCGCGGGCTCGGGCAATTCAAGATTACATTCTTGAAAGAGACCTTGGGGTACGAATATGCATTCCATGCCAGTGACTATGGGCAGACCCATGCATGGACTTTGATCACCCAATGAAAAGTAGGTCCTGTGGCAGATAGGTCCAGGACATGTGGCAGGATATCTGGCCCTGTCACCACTGCATGAAAGTGGGTGGAGGAGGTGCCTGGGGTGGGAAGAGAGGGAGAAATCTTCCTCACAAACACTCCCTCATGCATTCGACACATGTTCAATGGACATTGCAGGAGCATAGGTAACATGGCTCCTCTGGGCTCCTTTTCCTCTTAAACAAATTACTCACCTTCCCTGTGCCTCAGTTTTCTCAGTTGTAAGATGGACCTTGGACCTGCCTCATGGGGATGGGGATAAATTTTGGTTAAGTTACATGAACATTTTTATTTATTTATTTTTATTTGCATAGATTCAGGGGGTACCTGTGCAAGTTTATTACTTGGGTGTATTGCATAGTAACGGGGGTTAGGCTTCTAATGAACCCACCACTCAAATAGTAATTTTTTAAAAAAATTAATAGTAATTTGCTAACCGTTGCTCTTCTTCCATGTGCCTTCCTTTTGGGGTTCTCAGGGTCTATGATTTCCTTCTCTATGTCCATGTGCACCCGTTGTTTTGCTCCCACTTGTAAGTGAGACCATGTGATATTTGGCTCTGTTGCTGAGCCATTTCACTCAGTTACATTAAAAATTTATTATGGTGCCAGGTATAAGAGCAAAATCAGGTAGACATGATTAATATCAGTTCAGCTATCATTGTTGTGCTCACTGTCTCCCTATCTCTGGCTATGTTCACTGAACACACCACGCATTGGAAGGAACACATCACCTAGGAAGGGTTAGCAGCCTCTGCAGCTACTAGAATAATGGGGTCTGCCTCTCACTCCTTCCCACTCCTTAGCTTTTACACGTGATCTTAGCCAGAAGGCCAAGAAGTGACCCTCAGCTTTCTGGAATCTGCTGCACTAGAGATTTATAAGTTGGAGACTAATGATTCTTGACCTGTCTTCTCCCTCTCCCATTTCAGCATCCAGAACTAGGGCTGGGGAAGTCAATGGGTCCCCTCAGCAGGACTGGACTATTTACAACTAATTGGAAAAACATCCATCACTGAGCATGACCCCCATAACTTGAAGTTAAACTCAAAGAAGAAAAGCAAAAGCAAGTCATAGGACTCGAGATAAATGATGTGGCTCAGGGCCTCCAGACACTCCAGAAGCCGGCCTCTGTTTTCAGGATGGTGAGGCCAGTAGTGCTGTACCGCCCCCTCCCCTCACTGGCCCGGTTGCCCACTGAACGCCAAAGCTGCTTACTTCATCTCTCTGCCCCACTAATGGACTGTCTCTCTTCCTCCACCTCTGGTCTATAACACATCGTTCAGCTCCTCTTCAGTATCTTGGGTTTGTTTGTTGACTTGCTGAATTTCTATGACTTCTCTCCTCCTTCTTCTCTTCTCCCCTCCCTCCTCCATCACTGCCTCCATCTATTTCTTCCTCGATCTTTTCTGTTGTTTTCTTCTATTCTCTCTCTTCTTATTTTCTCATATTCTTCCCCCTTTTCCCACCATTCTCTGCTTTTTTGGTCATCTGTTTTCCAATATGTATGTCCTCTTTCCTTCCTTTCCTCTCCCTTTTTCTTCTCTTCTTACTTTTTTCCCACCCTTCTTCCTTCCGCAAATATTTTTTCAGCTACATATCTGCCACTCTTATAGGCACTGAGGACAGAAAGCAAGCAACGATGTAAACAATCCCTACCCTTCCGAAGCTTGTATTATATCAAAATACAAACACATTAGATGATGATAAATACTAAGGAAGAAGGATATATCAAGGAAGGGAATTGAGAGAGTAGGAAAGGATTGCATGTTTAGAGTTCATAAGCATAAGTTACTCTGCCCCTTTTGCAGGGTCACAAGAAGAGCATCCTTGACACTATAGTTGATGTTCTTTTAAATATATATATTAATATATGTATACATTTATTTTGTTCTAAAGACATGGAGTTCAATTCAGGGATAGGTATACAAACGTTGATTATGCAGGTACCCTTGTTGATGAGGTGTGCCCCTCCCTCCCCTAGCAGTTTCCCTGAACTGCCAGTTCCACCCCCCTCCCCTGACAGTGTCCTACTACTGCCAATCCCTTTCTTATCGTATTATAATTGTTCAAGGTCCGCTTATGAGTGAGAACATATGGCATTCCGTTCTTTGTTTCTGAGATAGATCAATGAGTATGATCGACTCTAAATTCATCCAAGTTGCTGTGAAGTCGATATGTTTATTGTTCTTTATGACTGCGTAATATTCTGTTGTATATATGTACCACATTTTTTAAATCCAGTCCAGCTTCAATGGTCAACCTGGTTGGTTCCATGTTTTTGATATTGTGAATAAAGTTGCAACAAACATACGTGTGCAGGTATCTTTTTTGTAGAATGATTTGAGTTCCTCTGGGTATATTCCCAATAGGGAAATTGCTGGGTCATATGGAAGGTCAATTGCTAGTTCTTTTGAATCACCACACTGTCTTCCAATGAGTTTGGACTAGTTTGTATTACCACCAGGCATGTAGAAGCATTCCTTTTTCTCTGCATCTTTGCCAGGATCTGTTGTTTGTTTTATTAATGATAGCCATTTTTACTGGGGTTAGGTGGTATCTCAGTGTGGTTTTGATTTGCATTTCTCTGATGATGAGTGAGGCTGAGCACTTTTTCATGTGTCTGTTGGCTGCCCATATATCTTCTTTTGAGAAGTGTCTATTCATGTCTTTTGTCCACTCTTTAATGGGGCTTTTTTTTTTATCCTTTCGATACATTTGAGTTCCTTGTAGATCCTAGATGTTAAGCCTTTGTCAGATATACAGTTGGCAAATATTTTTTTCCCATTCTGTGGCTGTCTCCTGCTCTCTTGATGGTTTCTTTTGCTTTGCAGAGCTCGTCAGTTTGATGAGGTCT